ACACACGCGCCCGGCGTGAGTTTTAAGCCACCGGGTCTGGGATGCGAACCGCGGTCGACTACGTGGGAGTCCAGCGATATAGCCATTACGCTAACTGCTGGTTCCCTGCTTGGCATGATTTTCAAGCTGCCTGGGTCCAGGACTTGAACTGTGGTGCCATGTGAGAATCTGGCACCTTAACCTTTACACCATCTGCTAACTTCAGTGAAGACATTTTATTGTATTTCATTTTATTTATTTATTTTTTGAGATGTTTTTGTTATAAGGTGCCTGCACTCGCTAGAGAGACAGAGACAGAGAGACAGAAAGCAAGAAATCACACACACACACACACACAACACACACACACACACACACACACACACACACCATGGGGGGATGGCCACACTGCAATCCCTTCTCCTCCATTCTCCTCTTGGGAGCTTGGGCATGCATGCACATGCGCCTGGTGTGAATTTAAGCCACCGGGTCCGGGACTCGAACCACAGTCTCGACTACATGGGAGTTTAGTGACATAGCCATTACACTAACTGCTGGTCCCAAGTGAAGATATTTTAAATTCAGCATATAATCTATTATATTTTATGTCTTTATATTTTTGTTGCCTTTTCTAAGCTGAATGTAGCGACAGATTTTCATTTATTTTTATTTCAAAATAGTATCTGGCATGTGGTCATAATCTCCAAAAGCAATTATCTCAGTTTTTGGGTATAGAGAATTTTGAATAATTGAATACTTTCCAGCTATTCGAAATCAGGTATCCAGTTGGTGTGATCTTTGACCGAGGGATATACATATTAAAGCACACCTATCTTATTAGGGAACCAGCACAAGATGAGGAGCTGAATAACCTCACCCCTTGTCTGATTGGAATACAACCAGCCTGTTTTTATTCCTGTCAAATTATTTTTCCAAATATTTAATAAAATTCAGGTGTCTTGTAACTGTATTTTAGTTAAAGAGACATACACTTTAAGGAAACTGTGTGATCTTGAAGTATACAGCCATTCAGCTATTTTTTGGCTATAGGATGTGTGTGCTTGCTGGAGACAGAAAAGGGGAAAAGTGAGAAATTCACCCTACCAGAGGGGTAGCAACACAGCAGTCTCTTTTCTTCTATTTTTCTCAGGATTTTGGGCATGCATACATGTCCAGCATGTTTCTCAAGCCATTGGTTCTGGGACTTTAACTGCTCAGTCGGCCATGTGGAATCCAGCCACCTTGATCACTATGCTACCAGCTGGCCTAGCCAGCGGACTTTTAAATTATATATATGTACATACACACACACACACACATACATATATATATATATATTTACTCTTGAAAGAATTATTTTAGTTTTAATTTATTCATTTATTTTATTTTATTTTATTTTTCATTCATTTATTTTAATTTGACCAGAGAAAGATAGACACAGAGAGAGAAGGAAAGTAAGAAAGCAAGCCACTATGTCCAGGACTCGAACTGTGGTCGGCCATGTGGGAATGTTCCGTGCCTTAACCACCATGCTACTGCTGGCCCCTAAATAATATATTTTAAAGTTTTTCCTGAAATATTTCAAAATTACCGAAAAGCATATATCATCCAGATTTAGCAAATCTTAATCTTTTGTTACATATTCATGTCTTTTTTGGTATCCTTTATTTAAAGAAATAAAATCTCATAGATCCAGTTAAAGGGTGCTCCTCCCATTCTCTTCCTGTTTTTTCTTTGCTGGAAGTCATTACAGTCTTAATATGTATATACCTAAGCAATATCAACTGTTGTTTTGCGTGTTTTAACTTTATATAATTGTTATCGTATTCTTTGTGCCATTTTATATATTATTTTCACTTAGCAATGTTTTTGAGATTTAGTCATGTTCAGTGGTTCTCAAAGTGTGCCACCAGAGATTACTCGGAATCTGTAAGATTTTTTTTAGGGGTTCCATGGGGTCAAAACTGTTTTTATAATATCTGCCCTTGCCACCCGCATTCTGTATAACTCACTGTGAATACTAGACAGAGAGTGCAGGGCCCATGATGTCATAATAGAATGCAGAAATAGTTACAGGACTCCAGCTGTCCTCTATTAAGCAAGGCATTAAAGAGTTTTGAAAAAATGTAGTGCCACTCTTTTCACTAATTCTTTTTGCTTTAGAAGATAGTTATTTAAGGGCAGCTGGTGACCTGGTGATTAAGGCAGCTGGATCCCACATGGTTGACATCGGGTCCCGGTAACTTGAAAAACACTCCGGGGGGCCAGCAGGTGGTAAAGCTGCTGGACACTCCCATGTGGCCAATCACGGTTCAAGTCCCAGACCTGGTGACTTGCTTTTTCGCCTTCACCCTCTCTCTCTCTCTCTCTTTGTCTCTCTCTGGTCAAATTAAAAATGAATGAATGAATAAAATTAAATCTTTTTTTTTTTTTAGAAAAAAATAGAACACTGTGGGTGTTCACGTGTATGTGCGTGCGCCCAAAATCCCAAGAGAATGGAGGAGAAGTGATCATGGTGGTGGCCATCCCCCCGGGGATGATTTCTTGTTTCCCCCTTTTTGTCTCTCTCTGGTGAGCACATGCACCCTATAGCCAAAGAAGGAAAAAAATAAAATGTAGTTATTTAAAAATGTTATTCATGTTTACCTACAGTGGGTTTATTTTTTAAATAAATTAATGTTTTTAAATGTCTCATTGTGACTCTGATATGGTAAATATCTGTAAATATGACCCACATAAAAAACAGTGGTCCTTTTTTTTTTTTTTTTTTTTTTAATGTTATTTCTTTTATGAGAGAGAGAGAAGGAAGGAAGGCAGATAGAGAGATACAGTCCCAACTGGGTTCTCATATTATGATCCACTTCCAGCCCCAGCCAGCCAGGATCACAGATACACATGCACAGGTGCCCAGCATGGACAGGTAAACCTCAGGATGTGAACCTGAGAACTTCCCATATGGCTTCAGCTTCACAGAGCGTTGTATTACTACTGTGCCACCACAGTAGTAAGGCAAATGGTCCTTAATTTTTAAGAATTTAAGAAGGGTCCAAAAACCAAGAGGTTTGAAAACTACTGGTTAAGTTCAGTCATTTTACTGTGTTTCAGTGTGTGAATATACTCTTTTATTTATTTACTCTTATAGAGGGACCATTAGACTACTTGCAGTTTTCTGCAGTTTCAAAAAATGGTGGTATGAATACATTTATATAGGGTTATTTTCTTTTGGGGTTGTAGTAGAGGTAGAATTGCTACATTGCAGGTCTGTTTATTGTCAACTTTCCTGGGAATTGCCAAAATGCCTAATTATGTTCTGTTTGACGTTCCCACCAGCTGTGTATGACCCTCTGCTT